AAAGGAAGGCTGGGCGCGAATGTTTTAGACACCGGGGCGGCGCCGAGGAGCGGAGCGTGTAAATTATAAGTTAAGAAAAGGGAAGAAATTTAAAAAGATTGGGTACATTTCCATTTTATATAGATTGTCAATGTGAACAGAATTTATAACTTATAAATGCAAAGCTATAAAACACAGAAGACGGCGGAAGTTTCCAAAGCGAAATGGGTCGCTTCTTTTTAAAGGAAAGATACGGGCTCCCCCTGGTGGAGAGAGAGAAAACTGATCCTCTGTTTAAAGTGTCTGTTGTTTTTGGATTTTAAAGTTTTGCTTTCTGACTTTTATAAGATCATAAAAATTATTGCAACTGTTTAGTATAGAGAAATGTTATCAAAAAGTTTAGTTTTTTGACATTTTTAACATAGAAACTTTTATATCAGTAGGCTATGTGGAATCCTTAAAATGAACTGGCATTCTAAATGTTATTTATGTTGATTTTCTTGATTAATATAGAAACTTTAATTGAAATAACGAATTCAGATATGCAACTTCAGCAGAGAGGCGTTCCCAGTAGAGAACAGAGATGCTCAAAGTCTGTGAAGTTTCTTACATTTATTATTTATTTCTATAAATGCCTTGACTTTCCCAAAACTACCATAAAACCAATAATTGGTTAATTGTAAATTTTATTTATTTGTCTATCCTCATCCTCATCTTCCTACATCTTATTTAATTGATTTTATTTTTCTATTGTATATACTGTGCCTAAACATCCTCTATTTTCTTGTATGTGCAATTTTTTTCCTTCTACTGGAAATACAATTTCCCGAAGGGAGTAATCCCAAGGGATTAATAAAGTCAAGTCTAAGCCTAAGTCTAAGGCCTGCTGACCAAAAATCAGGAGAGAAAGATATTTAAAAAAAAAAAGGAAAAAAGAAATTATAAATCTTTATGAAGCCTATCTCTATGTGAGTTAAAATATTAGACACCAGATCCAAATACCCCCCCCCCCTCATACAATTCATTATAACCACATTGTATGTGTTTGAAGGCAAATTAATTTCTTTAAAAATAAAAGAAAACTGATTAAAGTAAATACATCCCCAAGTCACGATCACTTACACCGATGGGTAACTAAAGATTTGACTGGAAATAAAGTTATGTTTGTTGAAAGGAACTGAGGAGTCCTGACTTTTCTTTGTTTTTGTATTTTGATTCCAGCTTGACGATATAGAAGTAATATTCTTGTGTGGAAACTGTAAAAGTGATGCAATTATTGTAATTGGCTTTTACACAGCTGATGTAATCTGCTATTTATGGGATTGAAATTTTGTCTCAAAAGCCATTAATCTATGCTGAGTAGTTTACCACTCAGTCAGTGGCGGTTCTAGACCAAATGTACCAGGGGGCCAGGAGGGGGCCAGCATGTTTTCATGGGGGCACAGAAAAGCATGAAATAAGAAACAGGACGAGGGATTCAAATACATTAAGAGAGCTGAATGAAGGGACATTTCTATTCAATTAGGTTTAATTAAAATTCTGTCTTATTAGGTCAACATACACTCACAATTTAGAAATGTTACATATTTTTGACTTAATTTAAGTTAACATTACCGTTTTCTATAAAGAACTCAAGAAAATCTGATAAATTCAGCTGTAAAAATTTTAGTATTTTTTGTTTTGTTTTGAAAAATACATTAAGTAGATAAATACTGGGATCCTATTTCAATACCACTGAAGCTATAACCTGATTGTTAAAAAAGAAAAAAAAAAAAAAAAGTGAAACACAATTTGTAAAGAAAAAACATGAAATAGATCCAAAGGACCTATCAGTAACTATGTCTGTTCCTGCACAGACATAGTTACTGATAGGGGCACTGGCCCCCATTGGCCCCTGTCTAGAACCACCCATGCACTCAGTAGAAAGATACAACTTTTCTTGACCTCAAAGTGTTTTCACAAAGAAAGGGGGAAATGTGCATAAAGAGAGCTTAGGCAGGTCGCCCTCTACTTTAGAAATATAATAAATAATAAAAGTTGCTCTTAAGCAGTAAACATCCGTCATATCAGCTCTGTTTTGGTATATCTGTGCGCAGGTGTAAAATAATTAATAATCTTACAGAACCGCATGGGTTTATATGATGCTGGAAGGTTTAAGGGTCTTTTCGCACTACGTGAGAGACGAGACAGAAATGCGACACGTTTGTGTTGTGTTAAAGGACTCGTTAAAAAAGTCAGAAAAAATAGAGCGCTCTTTCGAGTCTGCAAAAGAAGTAAAAATCGTAACGTGTTTTAGTGACTAAATAAGTAGAAATGTCTGATAATGAACAAAACAATAAATACCGGTTGTTTACTGGAGACTGTAATATCTGAGTTTTGTTTTAAAGTGCATAACATTTTTTTTCTTTTTAAGACTTATTCTTTGGCTTTAAAAATTGGTGGTAAATAAACTATTAAGACAAATGATTCCTGGATCTTCGTGCTTTTAAAAACCTTTGATCTATTTCAAATCATCTATGCTAAAAATATTTAGAGAGGTTGAAGCTCCAGACATCAGTTCATATTTGTAAAGAAACTGTTATTGTTCATTGGATTGAACAGAAAATGCCCAATGATCCATTTTTATTTAGTTTGATATCATTATAACCTTTGGCATTATCAAATAAAAACAAATCACACATCAAACAAAGTTGTTTTTTAAGCCATATTTACGTTTATCAGACTTTGTTTATTTTCTTGCTTGTGATGAGTCTATCTTGTTTGTTTAGTTACTTGTGGAATTTCCCAGAGTTCAATGGACTCATCTTTATAAATATATGACAGAACAGAACAGAAAATATGACAAAGAATGAAGGAAATTTGGTGCTGATGGTTGGGAAGCAGTTTTTAAAAGTATTTGATTGTTAAAGTAAATATTTTCCTCGTTATTTATAACAGCATGAATAACAATAGATGGCTGTTTTTTTATTTTATTTTATACCAGAGACATAATTAATGGTTGACATGCAATCCTTCAAAATCTGAATCTCCCGAGTAAGATTTAAATTTATGTAGCTACCTTGGTCAATCTAACCTAGTGATGTTTAACACCCTCAACTGACTCACTTGATAGAAATGTTTTGAAAAGAAACACCTTTTAAAAATGTCATCTTCCTTTGTCTCTTGGTTTCTTGTAACTATGATTTTTAGAGATAATTTTATAGCATTTTTTCATGTCATTCTTATCATTGATCTTTTTCCAATGAGTCTGTTACATAATTGGTAAACACTTTGAACCTTTTTTTTTAACTGAAAGACACAGTAACTCTAAAAAAAAAAAAAAGGAAACACATATAGAAAATTAAACACTGCATGTCTGTTGGGAAAATGCAATGTAAATATACTTCTGAAGTGGCTTGTTGAATATTTACATATCTTATCATCTTGGCATCATTATTAACACAGAACTTTGAACCTTATTCGAAATGTTGCAAATGTCCGACATTATTTGAACGCGTCACTGGGTATGTTTTGGTTCTGCTCAACCAATCAGAGAGCAGAAGGGGCGGGCCTCTCTCCTAAACTTGCCCCGCCCCTTTCCGTTATACTCTGCGCATCTCTCAGCCTCGATTCATTCTCTACCATTGAAGGCTCGCCTTTTGTCGCTAATCTCTGATATTCGCGTTCTTTATTATTTGAAAATCGACACTACAGCTTATATAAATAATAGATAATAAAACATAGAACTATAGGAGTCTGCTTTACATATATAGGCCTATTTTTCGTGAAATAACCAAATTATATCCAACTGCGACACAATCCTAATCGTAAAGACTGCGGTTTTTTTTCTTGCTTCTTTATTTTTCTTAAGTATCTTTATAAAAAGAAAATAAGGCAACATGAAAACCAATTTCATAAACGGGGTTTCGTCTTCCCCTTCCATGTCCCTCGGCCTCCTGGTGACTGAGAACGCCCTGCACGTCCAGCCGGACACCCAGGAGGACTGCAAGGATGTGGTCCGCCCAGACCAGCCGGACCTGGAGACCAGACGCAAGGCTTTTCTGTGGTGCAGAGGGTTCCTGCACGGAGCCTGGAAAACACTGAGCCAGGAGGACTTCCACATCACCATCATAAGGTTGACATGCGCTTCCTGTTGCTGTGATGCAGGGGCCAGCTTCTCGTCCATTGTGTGCATGAATGTAATAATGAGCCACAGCAGCCATGGCATGAAATCATGTTATGCTGCTTAAAAAACAGCGAATGCATTTACAGAATAATCAGTTCATCTATAATGAAAATCTATAATGTTGATTTGAATTTGATTGAATTGTGTATCTGTAGTATTTGAGTTTGTCTGCATAACAACCATACGGGAGCAGAAGCAAAAATATCTTATATATAGTCCTTTAGTTTTTATATGAGATTAAATATTTAACAAAAATCTAATTATAACTTAACTTCTGAGTTTATGGCCAATTTGATGAAAATGAGCAGATTTTAGTGCATCTAGTTCTCTAAAACCATCCCTTGAACCTGTCTTTCAAATATAAATGTTGCATCTCATATATAGTCCTTCAGTTTTTATATGTGATTGAATATTTACTAATTAAAACTTCTGAGTTCATGACAAATTTAATTAAGATTAGCAGTTTTTAGTGCATCTAGCTCTCTAAAACAATCTCTTGAACCTGTCTTTCAAATATAAATGTTGCATCTTTTATATAGTCCTCCAGTTTTATATTTGATTGAATATTTAACATATATATCTCCTAATTTAAACTTTACTTCTGAGTTTATGGCCAATTTGATGAAAATGAGCAGATTTTTGTGCATCTAGTTCTCTAAAACCATCCCTTGAACCTGTCTTTCAAATATAAATGTTGCATCTCATATATAGTCCTTCAGTTTTATATGTGATTGAATAGTTAACAAAAATCCACTAATTAAAACTTTACTTCTGAGTTTATGACAAATTTTACACCCTTAAACCTGTCCTTCAAATATAAATGTTGCATATCTTATATATACTCCTTTAGCTTTTA